ACGTGTGGCTAACTCGGTCAGCTGCTAGGCCGGCGACCACAACACCGAGCACCTCCACACAATACTGTCGAACAATGAAAGCTCAGCTCTGCAGCTGGAAACGACCATAAGGTTACATTCACGTTTACCCAGAGTTTAGGTGTTTCAAAGGAAAGGCTGATTTAATTATCCTGGCTGTTTGCCGGTTTGGCAGGACGGAGCAGCAGCTTGCCCAAACTTCAGGGACCCCCCTTTTTCCTTCCCAAATCTCCAACGCTCCTCAGCCACGGCTCTTCCAAAACACCTAGCTTATCTCAGGCCAAGGAGCAGGAGAATAGGAAACCGGGCTCTGTTTACCGCTAGCTGCTCGGAGGAAAGCCCATGGGGGCTGTCACTGCTGAAGGTTAGCTCGGTGCGCAGGTGGAGCGTGTGGGAGGGCAGGAAGGACAAAAACCAGAGCCAGTAAGAACTGACTCAGCAACGCTCACCCCCTTTCATTATCTCAGATCTTGAAGCCGAAATGTTAAAATACACTTTCAAAATGAGAAGGCGAGCTGGAGATGGTTTATATAATACTGCTGGAAGCAGGCAGACTTTAACTCATGCAAGCTACCAAGAGCACAGATGTATTGGGAAGCTGCCGATGAAAGATCGTATCGCCAGTCATTGGCAGTAATTGGGTGCTGCAATAAGCCGTTAACGTGCAGAGCACATTTCAGGGCTTAGTGCGGGAGGAGGCTGAAGGACAGCCTTCCCATGCAGGAAGGGACGGGATCGCAGCCCACATGACGGGAAGGGAGAGTCCCACCCAGCACCGCGAGGGCAGCAAAGGACAAAGTCTTACTCCTGGCTGTCAACATCAGCTTGAACATCCAAACACCACGGCTCTGCAGACACCACAGGGTATAGCGTGTTATCATTTCCCCTGAAAATAGCTAAAAAAATTCTTTGAAGAATTAACTATGCCCCAAACCAAATAATACTCAGTAAAACAGGAGTGATGTCGCAATTTAAAAAATACAGACTTTTTTCCTTTCTTAGATAGGTAAGGAATAGAAGCATCATCAAAGCTGGCAGCTGCTGGTATAAATAGACAGGCCACCAGGGCTGGCTGAAGGGCCACCATGAAGAAAACTGACAAAACGCCCGCTGTACTTGTTTTTCCATTATCTAATATTAGGCCATGTAGGTATTTATGAACCATTCTGCAGTGCATTCAAGCTAATTCCCAGAAAATCACGTGCCTGCGCCGTGAATTCAAGATTAGGAAGCTTTCCAATGTTTTCTTGAGAAGAGATGTGATCACCATGCAGTACTAACAGCAATTTGAAAGTCTGCCTTGTTGGTTGGCTGCCAGCTACTGACCCAACATCGTATTAAGCCTCCAGTCATCTCTTCCCAGCTATTTGTGTCAAACTGTGTGCTCTGAGGCTTGAAGAGTTTAAAGCAACTTCAGACTGGGGGCAGAAGGACAGATATTAGTTACAGAACCACATTATAAAACATTTGAAGAAATACTAAGTGCTCAGAAATTAGTGCTCATATAACAAGTACATGACAAGAGCCTCTCTGGTCTACAGCTGCAAGAATAAGTCAGTAGTCATCAGGCCTGAAAGGCTCGTTTAATTTCTCTGTAAAAAAAAAAAAAAAAAGAAAAAATCCCAAAGCCTTTCCCAGCCACTCTGGACAATCAGTCATGATCAGTTCCCACCTCCTTCAGCCTAGGACACGAAGGGCATGAGTCACACAAGCCACTGAACAGGGCAACACCTCTGTCCAGATTTGACAGCCTGACGGGGAAAGGCGCCGGGTCGCTGCACCCCCTAACCCTTCTCTTCCCTGGGATGTACGCTTACAGCGCTCAGAAAGCAAAAAAAAAAGCCTGTTAAGTCTGTGTAATGATGTTATATTTAATAGAATCCACGTAGATGCCTGTACGAACAGCCCTGCAGTGACTGGAACAAGAGCTACAGGCCGTTAAGGTTCTTATTTGAACAACATTAGCTCTTTATGCAGCCTGCCTCTTCCTACTGTTCCACTTCTGGACAGCTGCTAAGGGCAAAAAGCACTCAGTCTGCACTGATTAGCTATCTTCAAGGAAAAAAAATCATGCCTAGAGGGCAAGGCAGCTGAAAGCTACCCAAAAATCTTGCTACAAATTTTTGTATGAAACAGCACCTTATTTAGACAATTTGAAAAATGTTACAGAGGGACACTATGGCTGGGAATTTGCATAATGGGCGTCTACATCTTGCTTACCTAACGGGAGAAGAATCCCGTCTGTCAGTAAGTCTAGACTGTGGTGTTGAATCCAGGGGACCGAGGAATCTCCCGGCCAGAAATAACACCTGGCGCAGGGCAGGGTGCTGCCATCTGCCGACACCCACCGCTGGGACGGCGAGGCGGCCGAAACCTCGCTTTTTGTAGGCATCTCTAGATTGGGACTGCTCTGCGGAGCTAGGGACAGTGCTAAGAGCGGCAAGAAAAGCCATCCTCCTCCTTGCAAAGCCTAAGCTTTCCAAGCGCTCCAGGGAGACCTGCAAGGAGTAGTGTCCCCTGTAGCGCCTCGCTCCGCTGTGCTGGCTGGACCGCACTGTTAGCTGCAGCTGCAATTAAGGCAATGGTAGCGTGACAGTCTATTTTGTTAAAATGTATATACATTATTTAATATTAAAAGGCTACAGCATAACAACAGCTTTCAAATTTAAAATACTCCAAAGGCTTAGGTGGCTTAACAGAGACCTCTGCAGTTCAGACCGGCTCACTGCAGGCAGTTACTCTAAACACAGTTTCTCCCACTGATCTGAGTTTTAGAAGATAAGATACCCAAAAGGCAGAAAGGTTGTGCGTTCAGCCACCGTTTCCACCTCCAAAAGCCTTGCTGCGACACACGTGGAAACACAGAACCACCGGCTTTGGAGCCACCTAGATCTCAACTCCTCCGAGCGGCTGCAGCAGAACAGCAACCGTTTGTCATCTGTCCAACTTTCCCTCCTGCCCCCAAAGCAGCATCGGCCTGACCCGCTTCTCCCCAAAGCCCCAGCGGGGATGTCAAACACCTCCCAAAACCAGGGAGGTTTGAAACACGCGCTCAGCCTCCTGCCCCTTCAATTCCAGCGGGTGCACTAATAGAAGCAATAGAGCAACGCTCCTTTTCTTTGAAATACAGCACCCTTGATCTAAAGATAATCCATCTCTAGGACGACAGAAGTATGTGAGCAAGATACTCTATTCTCAGCTATGGGTTTGTCATCTCACCAAGCTTAAGTTCCTTTACCTTGCTGGTATTTCACACATGGGACAGGAAATACAGGATTTCACTAAAGGACTGCTGATGCACGAAGGGACTTTTGAGGCTCCACGGAAAGCACTCATGCCAAGTATTACACTACGAAGACGGACCAGAGAAAGGCGACACCAACACTCACGTACCGCAGTCCGTATCCCCCTGTGAAATTTTCAGCTACCGAGTGTTCCAAGCAGCAACAGATATCATTTCTTTAAAGCCTACTGAAAAGATTTCTAAGTATTCCATATAAGCAGCTGCACTTAAAAGTCAGCATCTGGTGCCCAGCAGGGCAATGACGGACAAATGGGATGTGGTTAGACCCAACTGCATCGCGTCACGCGTGGTGCCACAGACCTGCCATCCGTACGGCAGACAAGTCGCGAGACCTCGGAAGAAAAAAGATACGTGAAGACAAGGTTGTGTGAAAAACTGCAGAAACTATTTTGGAAAAGGAAGCAGTGGAAATACGCCGGTGAAATGCTGCTTCTAGGAAGTCAGAGCAGGCCGAATGCCATGCTTAATCTCACCGTCATTTCCTTCAAGCACACTGAAGTTTACTTGTCCAGTGCGGCCCATCTCCTTTACGCAGTGAGGTCAGTGAGGCTTACTAGAAGGTGAACTACAGCTACAGGCATCATTTCAGCTTAAATCAAATTTATATATTGCATTTGGGGGCACACAGGGAAAGTATCAAAAAACAGACAAACTGGTCTAAAACTTCCAGAGCAATGCTACTGATTTATTCTGTGCTCTGAGATTACACAAAGTTCTAGGGCAATTTAAAACAGCACAACTGATATTTCTTCAATGGAAAAGTCATGACGCTTTAATCACCACGCTGCTTCATTAACTGGAGATTACTAATTACAGGATTTGTTAGTCAGCGCTGTTTTAGTGTTGATTGTTCGTATAGGGAAGATTGGAACTGACGATTTAATAATTTTAATGGAATACGAGGTAATTTGCAAGAGCTGTCCTCAGCAGCATGGACAAAAATCATTACGGTTTTGCCTTGTCGCATACTTCCAGAAAGCAACAGCTTCAGTGGGACCAATGTGAAGCCAAAGATGAGAGAAAACAGCACAGGACAAGTGAGGCATGCACCTTAAATCACATGTTGAATCTCCTGCCTCTACCTTGCCCATTCTGCTTAGAGGGCAGGGAGAAGACAGGACATTTGCAGCATCTAATATTCCAGCACAGAGCAAAAAAGCTATTATACAGAGTTAAAAGGCCGTCATTTGCAGTATCTCCTGTTCGTGTGTACTGGTTAACGTGCACATACGTTCCAGCAAAGGCTAGATAAAAAAGGAAACTGAACTTCATCATCCAGCTACAGCAGTAAAAGCCTGCTGCTTCCCTTGGCTCCCAACAAGAACAAGGGCTCCCACACACACCTCACGCCTTCTGACTAAGAGGGACATGTCTCCTTTGGAATCTACAGATCTTCTTCCCTAATTAAGGAGGTGGATTACTGTTACATAACGAGCAGAGCGTCGCTCCACGCGGGCAGCGAGTAATCACCAGCCTTTGTCTCGGACCGGCAGGAGCACGAAGAGTCAAATCAGAAGAGCACCTCGGAATAGCTAACGTAGTTGGGCAAACACCACAGCGGTATTATCTGCTGCGGCATTTTCCCACTGTAGCAGGTAAAACTTAACCATCAATGGAAGGTAAATTCATGATGAAACGATACTGCAAGTTTCACAAGGGTAGAGTTCTTCTTGCTCACCTTCTTACTGCAGTGGAGCAGTTTCGGCTACTGTCTCGTCGGACGCACGTGCTGCCGGGGATCCCAGTTATGATTCCTTCTGGAAAGGAAACGGGAATTCAGGAGATCCATCACTGATATACTAAATAGATGGTGCATTATTAATGAAGTTATAATTTGGAATAATATCTTTTACTCCATTGACCGCAATTTTATAGCAATATTTACTTCAATAATGAGTGTAATAAGGAAGGCACGGCATTCACTGCAGTTGTCTGTTTTTACTGATACCAATTTTCATACCGAAGAACTCAATGTCCCAGGTATGTTTTGAAATTAACATTGATTTGTTTGAATTTTATAGTGTTTCCAAGCACATCTTTATTTTGTTGCATACAATGGACACACATTGACAGGGAACCCATTTTCATTTGTTTTTATAAATAACACCCACGACAGTCACACCGTGTATTTCAGACACTGAATCTGAATGTGTGGCATCTGAAACTGGAGATAACTAATGCTTCAACGACTGGATGAGAGTTCACTTAAATATTTTGCTCTAGATTTCACTGCAGTCTAACTACTGGACTACAGTCAACAGATGTTGAGCGCAAGTCCCCCGTGGTGGGAGAGGGAGAGGTGTTCGCACCTTTGTATTTTTGGGGGGAATGCTGTATAGCAGTGTTTTAGCAAAGAAGCCAGCAGAATCCTCTGGCTAAACACAGACATACTGACAAGCTTAGTTTTCAAGAAACAAGCACAAATAAATGGTCTAGGAATGAGATGGCCTTAAGAAAGCATTAAAAACGCACTGAGAAAAACCAAGTCATGTTTAGCTTTCTCACATGTTGGGATGCTCCCCTGCCACACCACGTTACACGGCTCCGCAGGACGTCCTCCTTCCTGCTTACCAGTAAGACATTGCTCAACCCTCCTCCGGTCAGCCCAACTTACCACACTGGAGTCAAAGCTGTTGTGAGCGAGAGCTAGGGACTAAGTCCAAAAAATCTATCTGAGCTGAAATCCAACCCTGCTTGTTTTCTCCACTTACTGTCTGAACACAAACAATTTTTTTTTTAAAGGAGTAAAGCCCACGTCATTTACTCTGCACTGGGTTTTAGGCCATGGCTTGCCTTGCCTCTTTCACCTCCATCTTCCTCAGATTTCAGTAAATCAAATGGTGAGGAATAGTCCTCTTGCCAAAACAATCATTTTAAAATCAGTATTTAATTTTTTTTTTTTTTTTTGAGAATAGCAATTCTTACAAATACTGTATTCCAAACCAGAGTGGCAAATGCCAGCTATCCACACAAATATGAAGGTGAGAGCAAGAGAAAAAAACCTTACTGTGAAACAGAAGAACTTGTGTTAGGTTAGGAGACCAAGGGACCAAAAAGGAGCATGGGGTAAAAGCGTAAACACTCCAGACAGAGCAAACGGCACAAGGTTTGCAATCGGCCTCTGAACGGCTCCGAGTCCACCGCCACTGATCCACCCCTCCTCCAGGATCAGCAAGCCACTTGCTGCTTTCTCACATTCCCCCTGCTCGAGTGAAGCTTTCCACGGCATCGTCCACACGCTCGCCTGAAGGCAGCCCCTGGACCCTGCCGAGGCTTTGGTAAGGGAGAGCAGGTGGAGAGGAGCCTGCGCCTTCCTCCCGGCCCGAAATAGCAAATGCCAAAGCTGG